ACAAGTCTCCGGGTCGGCCACTACGCATCTTCTTGCCGTTTTTACGGCCCAGTTTTTTTCTCCTTCTCCTTCCCGCTCCCCCCTTCCGCCGCCTCCTCCTCTGTCCCTGGTCTCTTTATAGGGCGCATCCTGCAATTTATTGCAGTCAGTTAAAGCTATCGGCCGGCCGCGCGCGGACATCACGACTATTGTGTGTGTGTGTGTGTGTGTGTGTGTGTGTGTGTGTGTGTCCAGATCATTTCCTAGATCATGAGGGGCACGCGACTGACCAAACGCCCCGCCACGCCACGCCCTTCCCTATCGCCTCCGTGTATCGCGGCGCGGCGGGCGACACGAAAAAGAAGAGGAGGAATTCGTTACTTTGGCCGTTGATAAGGAAGAGAGAGGGAGGAGAGACAGGGGAAGCCAGCCGTGCCATACAAGGCGCTTGAAACATTTGAAACATTCCTTGTGTTTACGATGAAGATGTGGTATACAGAGAAAGATCGATGGAAAGTAGGTAGAGCTAGGTGACAGGGTGGTGTAGGTGTATAGAGGTTGAGTGTACCTTGGGTCGCACCCCGTATCTATGGTAGTGGTAGTTAAGCTGGGTGACAGGGTGTAGGTGTAGGCGTAGAGGTTGAGTGTACCCGGGGTCGCACCCCGTACATATGGCAGCGACACGGATATTACCAGCGGGCGGCACACGTGAGAATAACTGCTCCCGTCTTCCCTTTTTTTTCTCCCCGCCCCCGGAGCTCCTCCGTTTTATTATTCGTCGCCTCCTGGCTTGGCTCGGCCCCGCGGCCCTGATATTGACGTAAGGTCCGGCCCATAAATCCATAAAAAGAGTCCGGCGACTAATACCGCCCAAGTCTGGGCAGGCGCCTGCTGCTGCTGCTGCTGCTGGCGCCTCCAATGCACCTGCGCGCGCCTCGGACACGGGTGGACGCTAGCAGCCTGTTCCTGGTTGGCTGACGTCTTATCTCGAAATTAAAGTATCCCTAACTAGTGGGTTTTTAAAGGGACGTGATTTATATTTTTTTCATATCGAATTTTTTTCATATTGAATTCTCCTGAACACACGCGACGCAAATTGGCAATCGGAAGTTTGTACGGCAACACGGTAAAAACAATGTCTCATTTTTTTAGGAAAAGGGGAAAACTTTAAGGACCTCCCATATTTGAAGAAAACTCCTCGGATCTCGCCTCAGATTTTGAGGAACCTCCTCAAAAATTGAGGCAAAATCACACATTTTTTGAGGAGACTTCCTCGAAATCTGAGGAGTTTTTGTCAAATCAGGGGAGTTCCTCAAAGTTTTCCCTATTTCCTCAAAAAATGAGACATTGTTTTTACCGTGATAGTAAGTGCTTCCTAGCAGCCTAACACTCAACAATTATTTTGTTCTAATGGAATAGTTTTCTTAAACTTGTGTCGCGGCTTTGGAGCGAGGTGGATGGTGGATGTGCGACTGTGTACAGCGATTTACGTTTGAGGAAATCTATGAACTGATACAAATCTAGGCCCTTTGTGGGCTGGGTGAGAGAGAGAGGGGGGGGGATGAGTGGAAGAGCGGGTGTGAGGGGTAGAGGGGTGCGGGTGTAGGGGGTGGCCAGTGGTCACAATGAAGAGGCAAATGTCTTTTAAATTGCAATAAAACGGGGCTGAAATGGTGTAATGGGGTGTGCATGCCAGTGGCTGCTTATCACTCGACACAAACTGACCAACGGGGACCAGCAGCGAGGGGGTGGGTGGCGATGAAGGGGTGAGAGGGGCGGAATGGTGGCCGGGAGAGAGGGAGGTCTGCAAAAGAGAGAACCGGGGAGCATCGCGGGACGGAGATAACGTCACGCGATATTCAAAATTCGGACATTTTGGTTCGTGAAAACCACAACCACATAATCTACTCTAAAACTGTAAAAATTGCGTTTTTGTCCATTGGTTTATTGATGTCATTTGTTTCATGGGCTATATTATGCTCATTCCTTTACATTGTGGAGGTAAACAAACGGTTCAAGTACTGTTCTACTCTCTTACCCATCCACAAATGGGTTTGGATTTAGGCTCTCTTCCTCCGCAATACGAACGACACCACTCTGCTGCTCCTTTTCGTTCGAACGGTCCAGGAAGCGAAGGGATGGGGGGCGTTTCTTCCTCTGCGGAATCAAGTCAAGGGCCTCTGCTAAATGGCAGCCCATTCACGTCCCCGGCCAGGCCGGGGGCCAGGCCCAGCCTCGGGCCGCAGGGAAGTCTCCCGAGGCCTCGGCCAGTCGCGGCCCCGGCCGGAGCGCACGACGGCCTCGGCCACTAACTGCTTCACGGCCTCCTGATGATTCTTGCCAATCACAAAGTAACACACTTGCGTCCGGTCCTAAAAGTCCCGCCGTAAAGATCGGCGGGAAATCGCCCTCCCCTTCTCCTTGTGTCTCCCCCGCGCCTATCCCTCCTCTCTCTCTCTCTCTCTCTCTCTCGCTCCCACTCTCGCCATGGGATGGGCCCCCCGCGCATCCGCGCCCCTTCCCTGTTTTCTTTTCCTTCGCCTCTTTTCTTACCTCTTTCCAGGAGGGGTCTTTGGTAAACGACCTCGTGCTCTACCTTTAAAAAAGGTACCCAAAAAACGTAGATAAAATTATAAAATGTGAAGAAGATGATGGCGGTACGGGGTTTGAACCCGCACGGTGTTACGGCACGGGTCGAGGCAGAGAGCGCCTTGCGACGCGACCCTCCTTGAGGCTGGCCGCTGGCCGTCGCCAATGGCCCTCGTACGGTCTACCTCAAGCCTGCATGGCGACCCGCTCCTCTCTCTCGCACACACATCTTTTCTATTTTTTTTTGTATTTTTATCACCATTGGCGGTCCTGAATTTGACGTTTATGTCGAGTCGTCGTCGTTCTCTCTCTCTCTCTCTCTCTCTCTCTCTCTCTCTCTCTCTCTCTCTCTCTCTCTCTCTCTCTCTCTCTCTCTCTCTCTCTCTTGCTGGCCTCCAGCGGTCACCACCTCATCCACCCCAACCCTAACCCCTGCCTGCTGCACCCCCAACCCTCGCTCCGCACCGCCAGGTTGGCCGCCCTGTGTGGGTGTCTCCCGTAGTATTTCCCAAGTGCATCCTTTATTCCTCCGCTGGACCGATGGGTTGGTGGGGAGGGGGGTGGGTCCTGCTCCCTGACGCCATACCCTCGCCCCCTCCCTTCCTCCCCACTCCCCGCCGCGCGAGGCCGTGGTGCACCAGCACGCCCAGCCCCGCCAGGTACCACATCACATGGGAGGTCGACTCCGCTCTCGGCTGTTCCTGGTGCCTTTCGCCGGGATCAGTGGTGGTGGTCACACGAAGCACCGTCTGGTGTGGACCATGACAAGGGGTCATCCAGTACGCCCGTCATTCGGCGATACAAACCTGCCAAATTGTTCAGCCTCCGCAAGCCCTTATGACCCCTGGTAGGTAGGCAACATCTTGCCTGCAGCGCATGCGTGCATTGCGGGTTGGCCTACCCTAAGTCTCGCAGGCGCCGAGCTCACGTGTTCAGCGCCGAACGAAATCTGAGGAACATTTACACGTCTTCTCTGGATGGTCCCAATCTTGGTTAGAGTGTTTCATATTTCTGTAAGACTCGCGGGGAAAATGTTCGAAAGATACGTTGTAGAGTTTATGATTTTAAATTGTAAAAAGAGGAAATTCCTATGGAACAATCGACTTGGCATTTCGTCCAATTTATATGACGAGTGCGCAGTCGATGTTGTTCAATCCCCCATCATCAGTGCACCTATTTCCTCGACCCCAGTATGGCACGGTGCGGTCGGTGGGTACTCGATCCTCCCCGAGCAGGAAGCACAGTCGGGGCTCCTTCCCTTTCCCCTCTCGCTTCGTAGGGGTGCCCCCCCCCCCCCTACCACCACCACATCCCCTCGCCTCGGCTTGAGGTGGTGGTAACTAGATAACTGCGGTGGTGACCCAACGTGATTACCCCGGCCCACGGTGGAGGGAGAGAAGGTGGCGGCACGAGGGGTCTGCTCGTGGGTCCAGAATCTCGACAGGTTGGGGGATTAACGCCCTAGTCGGGGCCAACTGTAGGGCCTGTTCACACTACCTTCAGTTGGGGCCGTCGTGCAGGTAGGTAGGTGGGAAGCCCAGAC